TTTTGCTGTATTTTGGCTGTATGTTTTACTGTGTTTAAGCTGTAAATTAGGCTGTATATTTAGCTGTAAGTTAGGCTGTATGTTTAGATGTAAGTTAGGCTGTATGTTTAGCTGTAGATCAGGCTTTATGTATAGCTGTAAATTATGCTGTATATTTAGCTGTAAGTTAGGCTGTATGTTTAGCAGTGTTTGTAACTGTATGTTTAGATGTCTTATAGCTGTATGCTTCGCTTCAAAAAAGAATTCTCTCCGTTTACTGCATATGTTACTGTATGTGCAGCTATTTGTGTAACTGAATGTGTATCTGCGTAGTTTATTGCTTCAAACTTTAGTGCGATAAAACTATGTGTTGTTTACTACGTGTTCGGCCTTGTATTCCCGTTTTAGTGCGCGCATACTCTTCATTCCTCTTAAAACCGTTAATTTCTTAAGCACATTATGATCCCTGATATTTCCCCCTCTCTTCTAACCCAAGCAAATAACATTGCTGGCTATAGTTGGCCCGAGAAATATCAGGAAAAAAAAAATCTCATTTCCTTAACTGGCCTATGCGCAGTTTTTTGCCGTCCTTCCATTTAAATATCAATCAGTCTTGGAATTTTTGCGAATATTTCTTGGCTCAGGTTTTATTGTCTTAGAACTCTGGGAAATTGGTCAGACACCTGATGATGGGGGGGGGGGGGGAGATGTACTTTTGAAACATCGACTTCCGGTTTGGTTGAAATCTGATTAGGCTATTCAACGATGTACTTTAATTTAATTAAAAGATTATTTATACTAGTATTATTCACTTAGGAGATTGGTCTAAAATTCAAATATTAATTACATTCATAACTTTATTTAAAAACAAATACAGCATATTCTATGTCAAATGCCATTTATAACAGACTGGTAGATCAATCAATCGAGTCAATAAAAAAAGTATTTTAAAAAAAAAAAAAAAAAAATCTGAAAATAAGCAGATTGATTTTTATTAGAGCTATGGGGTTTCCTCTCTCTCTGAAAGATATTTTTACTCTCAATATAACCTTCAGAATGTGATTGATCTGTCGTAGTGTATAAACTCTACAGTTGTTCAAATCGTTGACATTTTTAGCATGTTTACTTTGGTTTGGTTAACATGCCAAAGCACACAACAGACATATATATATATATATATATATATATATATATATATATATATATATATATATATATATATATATATATATATATATATATTTCAATGAAAATATGGACATTTGATTTAAATTGCGACATAAATTTGGTTTTACTTGACAATATATTTCCACATTTAGTTTGAATTGTGCACAAAATTTGATATGGCGACAGCTTTAGGATTTTAAAAACATAATATCACAAAACCATACAAGAAGAAATTAAACGCAAGCACAGAGGCACGTACTTTTAGATAAGTAAAGGAAAAAAACATATGTATAAAAACATACTTCAATTTAACACTACATCTGACTTTCTCAAAAATACACATACATACACAAATACAAACATGCCCACGTACATTCGACACAAACACACAGAGACAATCGCAACAAACACACACACACTTCCAGACACATACACACACACCCCGTATTGACAGACACACACATACACGAATACACTAATGCCAAACAAGTACACACACACACACCATATTGCCAGACATACAAACACACACACACAAACACACTAATGCCAAACAAACACACACACACACCATATTGCCAGACATAGAGACACACATACACTAACACACTAATGCCAAACAAACACACACACACCATATTGCCAGACATACAGACACACACACACACTAACACACTAATGCCAAACAAACACACACACACCATATTGCCAGACATACAGACACACACACACACACAAACACACAAATGCCAAACAAACAAACACACATACACACCCTATTGCCAGACATACAGACACACTAACACACACTTGTCTTTAGAACCCCTCCCCCCTCCCCCCCTCCCCCCCCTGATCTCTAGCTGCGGGACATGTACCATAGAAACAGTACTCGGGATTGGAATGCTAATTTAGCTTTGTGCGCACAACCCCTCAAACCCCTCCACCCACAGTAACACTACACCACCCCACCCCATCACCCACCCTCGGGATAACTGACATCAGGGGATAAAGTGCACTGGACACTGATCTGACCACTCTACATCCTGTGAGGGGGGGGTGGGGGGTGGGGAGAATTAATTTAGTCCTGGATATTGCTCCGTCTAAAAATAAACATTTAATTTAACTGTCATATAACACAGCACAGAAGCAAGGAGACTCATTGAGGAAATATTTATTTGGCTAATTTAAACAAGCCTAATTTTAAACTAAAACCATTCGTGCTTACATTGTGATATATGATTATATATCTTCGCTGCTTTTCATGTACACAATAAGGGCTAGGGCTACTAATATCGATTCTTTTTTTAACTGCCACTTACCCACAAATCAATATACAAAAACAAGCGAGGTACATCAAACTTCAGTGACAATTAACTGTACATCGTTATTGCTATTTCCAGTAAGCAGATGATTTATGTACTTATATCAAAATAAAAATACCCACCTTAAAAAGTAAAACAATGTAAAGCTGACAGAGTATTAAAAAATCTGGATGTGAGCTATAAATAGGTCTTGTTTATTTGAATTACACCCCTTGGATTATTAGCAGACATGAGCGTTAATGCGCCGTTATTTGTTGATAGACTAATCCTGCGCGGTAATTACACCGTTGTCAAGAGCTGTCGGGCGGAATTGTCGAGGGTTTAGTTTCGAATGTTGCCAGGAAAAATGTGTGGAATGTTGCCAGAAAAATGTGTCGAATGTTGCCAAGAAAAATGTGTCAATGTTGCCAGGAAAAATGTGTGGAATGTTGCCAGGAAAAATGTGTGGAATGTTGCCAGGAAAATTGTGAGGGTTTAGTTTCGAGAGTTGCCAGGAAAAATGTGTCGAATGTTGCCAGGAAAAATATGTGAGGGTTTAGTTTTAAATGTTGCCAGAAAAAAATGTGTCAAATGTTGCCAGAAAAATGTGTGGAATGTTGCCAGATAAATTCGTGGAATGTTGCCATGAAAAATATGTCAATGTTGTTAGGAAAAAATGTGTCAATGTTGTTAGGAAAAATGCGTCAAATGTTGCCAGGTTGGTTGATATCGTTTTCGTAAATTGCCAGGAATTTTTGACATAAATATCCATACAAGGTCATACTTCAAAGTATCCACTCCTTCGCACTGAAAATAAATAAATAACGAATTTCTAAATTTGACTTCATTTCTTTAACTTAGCTAAGTTTGACGTAAACAGCCTGATCGGATTAGCCTAATTCTTAGATCAGAAGAAAACATATGGCGCCCGTCTTCTCATGGTAAATGGTAAACTTGATCAGTCAAAATCATTTAGGTGACTTACACAACAAAAATCAGTCAACATCATTTAGTTGACTTATAGTCAGTCAACATCATTTTGGTGACTTAAAAAAAATCAGTCAACATCATGTAGTTGACTTTAACAACAAGAGAGACATGAAATAACATTTTGTAAGGCCGGCTGTTTACACGCGATTACAAACATCTTAGCCGTGTTAGTGAAGAACGTCTACCCACCCTCCTCCCGCACTTGAAAATTTCAAGTGCCCCTCCCCGGAGAAAAACGTCTCAAACAAACACTGCATACGCACACACGTTTTAACACCATCACAAAACTAAAATTGAATTAGCAAATAATTTAGCAACATACAGGCTTACATATTAGTCCAATTTAAAACCATATATCTAATTAATCCTGCTAATCGCCGTATTATCTACATAGAATTAACACCTACGGATTTATCTTTTGTGTTTCTCATTCTACGCAGGCAAAATATGGAAAACCCTAAGCGGCTTAGGTAGTCTTTAAGCCGAGACCAATCAAAAGCTCACACGTTTCTAGTTCTAATCGGCTTTGAATCTTTAAACTGACCATCCTGTTATTATTTGGTTCCCATGAGCGCTCTACTGCCCAGCACTGATATGCTTAGGTTAAACACGGAATTACAGTGAGGGGGTGTTAGAGTCAGTCTAAATCCTTTATCTATCTGTCTTATGAGATAATTGATTAGTATTATCTGGTTACATTTTGGTGTATTTCTTCGGAACAAATACATTCTTTGTTCACTCTGGCAAACTAAAATATCCTTTGTAGAAATCACAAACTTCATAGAGTTTGTTACCATAGCTTCGTGTTGAAATATACACACTCAGTTCAACAGAACGACTCATAACTTTAATTTGCAGAATTACACGCGGATGGGATTGCGTCACCTGGCGGTAGAGAGCTAGGCTGCTATCCTGAAAGTCTCGAGTTCGATTCCCGGGTTCAAGCCAAGAGAATGTCACTGAGTCCACCCAACTTTCATGAGTACCTATCCCACGTAGGGACAGCAAAGGCAGCTGGGCATAATGCTGACCACAATATACCTTCATATGCTGAGGTCACAGAAACAGATGAACTCGGCTTCACCTGCCCGATGTGTATTGGGCAGACATGGGGAAAAGTTGATTATTACACGCATACTCTTAGCATAATCTCCAGATAACTGAAATAGGTTTACTACTACTAAAAAAAAGTTTTTTTTAAACCTCCCTGACTGGTTGATAGTTAGCTTAACACTTGTCTAATTATACAACTAGTGATAACGAATCGTCTGGGGAAATCAATAAAGAGTAGGAAATTTTTCAGTAAATGTTACATAAAGGTAAGAACAGCATATTAAAAATTGAATGGGGGGAGAAAGGGCAACTAATAACTAATGACATTTCAATTCATAAATCCTATATGATGTTGTGGGTGTTTGGAATATAATTAAAACTAAACATATCGATTTGTTTTAAAATAACAATTGAGCAGGAAAGAAAAATAACCCATGAGCTGAAAGAACATAATTAGCTCCCTTAGATTTTGATCGCTTGTATTAGTGTTTTTATTCTGCCCTCTCCATTCTACCCTCTCCATTCTGCCCTCTCCTTTCTGCCCTCTCCATTATGCCCTCTCCTTTCTGCCCTCTCCATTCTTCCATCTCCGTTCTGCCCTCTCCACTGTACCCTCTCCATTCTGCCCTCTCCACTGTATCCTCTCCATTCTGCCCTCTCCATTCTGCCCTCTCCATTCTGCCCTCTCCATTCTGCCCTCTCAATTATGCCCTCTCCGTTCTGCCCTCTCCATTCTGTTTTCTCCATTCTGCCCTCTCCACTGTACCCTCTCCATTCTGCCCTCTCCATTATTCCCTCTCCGTTCTGCCCTATCCATTCTTTCCTCTCCGCTCTGCCCTCTCCATTCTGCCCTCTCCACTGTACCCTCTCCATTCTGCCCTCTCCATTATTCCCTCTCCGTTCTGCCCTCTCCATTCTGCCCTCTCCATTCTGCCCTCTCCATTCTGCCCTCTCAATTATGCCCTCTCCGTTCTGCCCTCTCCATTCTGTTTTCTCCATTCTGCCCTCTCCACTGTACCCTCTCCATTCTGCCCTCTCCATTATTCCCTCTCCGTTCTGCCCTCTCCATTCTGCCCTCTCCATTCTGCCCTCTCCATTCTGCCCTCTCCATTCTTCCCTCTCTACTCTGCCCTCTCCATTCTTCCCTCTCTACTCTGCCCTCTCCATTCTGCCCTCTCCATTCTGCCCTCTCCATTCTGCCCTCTCCATTCTTCCCTCTCTACTCTGCCCTCTCCATTCTTCCCTCTCTACTCTGCCCTCTCCATTCTGCCCTCTCCATTATGCCCTCTCCATTCTTCCGACGATAGATCGCCACATTCTATCGATTGTCATAACCTCAATCAGTGCCGTCGTGTGTGTGGCGTACATGTTAATTAATCAATAATTGCACTTCCTGTCATAAAGCTTAACTTGACCTTCAACTCTGAGAGTATTCGGTGAGTGACAATTGTAAAGAATTGGAGAAAACAAAGTTTAATTTATAGCATGATGACATTATCTGGAAGGGTGTTTTTGTAAAGCATCTCAAAGTATTTTTTTTTCAAACTAATTAGTATGGGGAGCATGTTGTCATTATGTTCTGGTTAAATACGGTTTCCTTTAACAAGTTTATTTTGATAGAAAAATACAATTTGAAATGTTTTATAATGTGTTTAGCCCTTTCAATTTTTCTATTTAAACTAGGGTAGTCACAATCACAATAGTGACATCATAATTCTGGGAGGGGGTGATGAGGTATGACTTTTGTGACGATGTGTGACGAGGGGATGGGGGTTGTCACGAAGTGTAACGTCACACTTTGTTTGGGCGGGGGGGGGGTGGTGAGGATTGTTTTAAAACATGAAAATGAAACCTGAAATAAAGGGACGGGAGGGCTGAAGTGTGACGTCATTTTAGAGAGGTGCCACTGTGGTGGGGCGGTAGAGCTTGTGATCGCTAACTTCGAAAGTCTCGCGATACCACGGAGCTAAGAAGACTCGATAGCTGTGAACAGCTGGCGATCCAAAAGAGAAAACTCCATACTAAAAAGACTTCTGTCTTGTTCTTGGGCAGACAAAGGCTATGGAAGGATTACCGATTTTAAAAAAAATCATCATGAAGTCGGAATCGATGGTTCGTATTAAAACATAACATGTTGAACGTAATACAATATTTTGTTGGACGAAATCCTCTTCAATATTACAAAGAAAAAAACGGAGATGGGCGCGTATAAATTTTGTTTTTTAGGAAGTGTGACACATGTTGGGTAACAATAGACATAAATATATGACGGCCATTATTGACGAGACACTCCTTATGTTTTACATATCCCCCCCCCCAATATTCACATTCGCATCTCGTAATGTGACGCAGACAATCTACAGCCGCTGGAGTAGGGTTGAGTGCTATACCGTCCGAATGTTAAACCGATCGATTCCAGTTCGAATTCCATCTTGTGTAGATGTTTCCTTCATAGATCGATCTCGGATCCCAGATCCAAGACCTACGTGTTGCAGAAGTTTTGGGATTTAAGATAAACGGCTAGATTGCACGTGTTTATGTTGCTATAAATAGAATCTTATATTGGAATTTTGTCTACAGTGATATTCGTCTACATAACAGCTGTCAAATTGTAGATCAAACATTGATTCCATAAGAGGAGTATTTCGTTGAGAAATATAAGCTGTATGTGTTTTTGTAAACTAGACAAAAAGGTCACGATCGAATCCGTCACATAATGCACTTTACTCATCTAACAGAATAGTGTAATATGTGTATAGAATAGTATATTTTGATGACGTTTGTAATATTAAACTATATTATATTCTATAAACACTATTTAAATGCTGACAGTTGATAGTTATATATTCCACGAGAATTTGAAATTTACACACAAATTTGATATTGATGTTCTCAAAAAAAATATTTTCCATCTCTCAAAGATTTAAATCAACGAATATTTGGGCTATCGTTATGTCTTCGGAATCTCTTTATAAAGGTATACGCTACTCGATTTACTTTTAAGAGAGGCTAGTTAAATAAAACTTCATCAATAACGACAATTACATTTCTGCTTATAACGTATTTGTTTCATAGAAGTTTTAAATAAAATAACAAATAATCTTTATACATCTAAGTAAGATGTTTTGTGTTTAACATTTCAGAATAATGAAAACTAAGTTTTCGTAAAATCGTTTTACAGTGTTTTGAACGCATCTATGTTAGTGTTGTTTTTTTTAAATGTAGATTCTCAACTTTTGTTGTGTATAATTAAAAAAAAAACTTCCAAAAAACTATCCTGATCATGGACACATCGATATTAAAAGCATGAAGACGTCCAACTAAATGATTTGTTTTCATTGAATAGCCCAGCAGACGTCGTGACAACTTCCGGCACAAATTTCCCCAGCATTTCCCGCCTCCCCACACACATGTCAGGGGAGACAACACAAACCCGCCTACTGGAAAAAACAAGACGTAATTTCTAGGCTCGAATTCACGAGATCTTTCTAAACGTCCATTTGCTGTTTCAAATCTATGGAAGCCTGTTTGGGCTATATTCTAAAAAAAATATCAATCGGAAATCTGTTATATTTCGTTAATAGACAATCTGTTTTCTGCACAATGCGCGGATGGTTTGTTTAAAAATTGCTTATGAAGATGGGGGTGGGATATTAAAGATTTTGTTTCAAGAATGGGCTGGTAAGTAGGTCACCAACCAGTTATATGGCTCACGTAGGTTTTATTGAACCATAGAACTGGTTGGTGACCTACTTACCAGCCCTATTGGAAAGAGAAAAAAGAAACAAGTTGGCCAGTGATGTGTGACGTCCAGTAACACAAGTAGAACAGCCATGAGAGATAATTACATAGGTACTGTTAAAGTACACATATTATGTAATAAAATAACTACATAAACATCATATTACCATCCAGATTGCAATACACAAAAATACACAGATTACCTTATAAATATCACATACATTACTAGACGCATACCTACACACACAAATTGCCGCACACAAAAACGCACTAGACGCATACTAACACACAGATTATCACATACAACACACAGATTAAAACATACCAAAACACAGATTTAGAGTTACCACACACACATATTAACAAAATTTTTCCTAAAACTAAATGTGTATTTTTAGCGCAATTTCCATTCTGGAGAATTGGGTTTATTAACTCGTCATTTCTGGGAATGGATGTATGGATGTGTGTCCGCAGCTTTAAGTCGTCTTAAAGTCGTATCTCCTTCTCAACGAAACAATATCGAGGACTAGTTCCAAAAGCAAATATGTTAAGCAAGTTCCGAGGATGATTGTGGGCCAAAAAAAAATTCCCGAATTCCTTCCTGATTTTCCCGGAAAAGCCAAAAAACCTCGAAAAAATGCAGTTTTTGGCCCATATCTCGGCAACCAGACCACTTAGCGACTTGAAACATTTACCAATCGATTCCTGCCATAATTTAGAACAATATTGCCGAAGAAAGTTTTCAAAAATATCCTTTCGTTCGACCACAAAAAATTAATTAAGAATTTTTAAACTGAGCGTCCTGTAGGCCTAGGATGGTTTAGCGCAAAGCGCTGAGGTTCGAAAGGATTTTACCATAGCGAATGAGCGGAGGTTCGAAAGGATTTTTTCTATTTTGTTTTGAATTATTGAAACTACTTGTGTTGGATTATTTCTTTGCTGAATATATGATTTATCTCGATTTAAAATTGTTATGGATAACATAAGGAAATTGCGCTTAAATTGTCACTAGACTTTTTATTAACTTGTTTGTGTTTTACACATTTTGAATTTCAGCATACCCTATAATTAAATGTATATACATATTTAAGTATGAAAACTTTACGTCAAAATGTAATGATGCTTTATTTTAATGTTATTTCGAAACAATACGTTCACATGTACTTACATTGTATCTCTTCTGATTCTTGTCATCATTCGCTTGTCATTTACCCATTTCACAGACCCCATCTCGTCTTTTATTAAATGCTATTATATCTCATTAATTTAAAAATCTCATGTTTCATCTCTTTGTCTGTCCGTCTTCCCCAACAAAGTCCCTCTGAAGCCTTCCCTCCATTGAGCCGGCCGAACAATCGAGCTGATATTGCGCGCGCAAGAAACATATTTACAGATAGTTTTTGTTGCTTGTATTGATGTTGTTTATGAAGTTTGATCCCATCGTCTCGCTGATGTTGATTAGCATTCTGTTCACACACTCTTTTAATAATGAATGATCTCTCTGCTTGGACAGGAATAAACCTCTTAGCCCTTTAACTAACGTCCGCTGTTAGATCAATTCCATGAGAATTTAAACCTCAGGCATTGTATTCTTAATACGGTGTTGTTTCTTAAAGGCAATACGCATTAATGTATTAGGCGCACACTCATGCATTTATAAATAAATAAAAAATGCATATATATATATATATATATATATATATATATATATATATATATATATATATATATATTTATATATATATATATATATATATATATATATATATATATATATATATATATATATATATATATATATACCTATACCTATACCTATACCTATACCTATACCTATACCTATACCTATACCTATACCTATACCTATACCTATTCCTATACCTATACCTATACCTATACCTATACCTATACCTTTACCTATACCTATACCTATACCTATACCTATACCTATACCTATACCTATACCTATACCTATACCTATACCTATACCTATACCTATACCTATACCTATACCTATACCTATACCTATACCTATACCTATACCTATACCTATACCTATACCTATACCTATACCTATACCTATACCTATACCTATACCTATACCTATACCTATACCTATACCTATACCTATACCTATACCTATACCTATACCTATACCTATACCTATACCTATACCTATACCTATACCTATACCTATACCTATACCTATACCTATACCTATACCTATACCTATACCTATACCTATACCTATACCTATACCTATACCTATACCTATACCTATACCTATACCTATACCTATACCTATACCTATACCTATACCTATACCTATACCTATACCTATA